ACCAATATAATGGTACGGTAACGATGAAAAGCTTAAACTAATTCAAGTAAATAAACTAATCTACAACAGATTATGGGTCTTTTTCACAATCTTTAGGTACTAAAATAAACAACTAATGGTGTGGTACAGTTAAATAAATAGACGAACCAATAAAAGTGATACACAAGCACTAGCACAAATTAAATTACATACATATAAACATTGAGTATTACGTGTATTCTCAATGATATAACTAACCTGCGGTCTTATATGAATCTACGGCCGGCGAGCGCATGAGAGCTACGCTGACATCCTTCGTAGACTGTAGACACTGATAGACTGATCTAAACAGTAGACACCGACCACTAGACTCACTAGACCCACAATGGACCGGAAGTGTTCATCTAGCCACCACCACCACTGACTGCCACCGTCATTTAGGCCTACAACTAGTAGAGGGCAGATTTAGCGGCGTGGCTGACCCGTATTAGGATTTGGATTCAGAAGAAGAAAAAGGGGAATGGCGACCACACGAGTATATTATGTATTATAATATAGCATTGTAAATTTCTCTTTGCATTGATTGAAATTAATTGAGTTGACTTAAATGGGGCTACATTGGAGGTAACTTTTGGATAATGTACTTGCATTTATTTCTTAAGAATTAAGATTAAAAACTTAAAAAGCTCTTCCCCTTTGAAACTTAGTTCATACCATGAAGCCTGGATATTATTCTGGAATAGCTAAAAAGGACAATTAATTACAATTTCCATTGGTAAATAACAACCATCCATTGGTCCTTTTTGTATGAGATGAGGGCATAATTAAAACGTATTTTATTCAACCATGAATGGAAGATTCGGGCAAAATGAAGACTTCTTTTGTCGCTGTGTATAGCCCTCCCTATGGAACTATGGTTTAGTTAATGTATCAACCCGCTTCACATTGAAAGTTGATCATCAATGATAGACAAATGCAATAATTAATTTGTCTAGTTGAAGTAGAGTGGGTAAAAAAAACGACCTACATTTTTCAAATGGTCTCTGCTATACTTATATGGGTTTCTATTAGTTTACCCTTTCCTATTACATTATTAGTTCGTCTTGATTATCAAATCCTTCAATGAACCCTTTCTCGATCTATTTTTAAAAAGATATTTTTTTAAATTACAAGGCACGGAAAATGCAACAGATAGATAAATAAAATAAGTAATACAAATAGTGGTTTTAACACAGGTAAACAATTTTTTTTACCACAAACAAGAAACATTTTATATGCTGACAAGTAAGCACACTTCCGCACCTTATGACTAAATTAACCAATGAACTCAGCAGCTTATTTAGACTATGCTGCGTGCGATAATAATTCAGCAAGTGGGCATTTCTGATAAATGACACGAAGTATAAACTTGCACTGATTGACTGTGATTTCAACTGTCAAAACACTTTCTGCGGAAAGGTTTTGTGTACAAATATTTAGTGGCATATTATGTGACCACGTCACTCCACATCCTAACGGAATTGGTCAATGGATATCCATATACATTTTTTGTTGTTATAAACAGTTTAAATGGACATCAAGGCATCGATAAAACTAAGGTTAAGTGAAATAAAGTTTGGAACAAATTGTCTATATCACATATCAATAATTTTTACTTTCTCCCCCTATACCATAGTATATGGAGAAAGTATTGTTTTCGTCAAAATTTTCGAGTTTGAGTTTTGAGTGGATATATTCGTTTTGGGTCCCCCTGGACCCAAAAAAGTTGTTTTCGAAGTGATGTCTGTGTGTGTGTGTGTGTGTGTGTGTGTGTGTGTGTGTGTCTGTGTGTCTGGATGTGTACAGAGCTAGAGACTACACCTGTGGTCCGATTTCGATGAAATTTGGTATGTAGGTTCTAATCCATGGTATCTCCAGGCGTTTTTTTCATTTTTTTGAAATTTTGATTTTTAATGGGGATTTTCTCATAAAACCCATAAAAAACCGGAAAAATCGGATTTTCTCAAAAATGGCCCAAACGATTTTGATAAAAATTTAGTATGTTGTAGCCCTTTAAATTCTGAACAAAATGGTACAAATCCCATTTCTGTAAAAATTACGGTTCAAAAGTTATGGTAAATTATGTTATTTTCCCATAAAAACCCCATAAAATAACGAAAAAATAGGATTTTAGACAAAAATCCGGTTTTGATTTAACATTGTATGTTATGGTCCTTACAACTGTGATAGTTTTTTTTCATTTTTTAGAAATTTTTATTTTTAATGGGGATTTTCCCATAAAACCCCATAAAATAACGGAAAAATAGGATTTTCCCAAAAATGGCCTGAACAATTTTGATAAAAATTTAGTATATTATAGTCCTTTATATTATGAAGAAAATTGTACAAATCCCATTTCTGTAAAAATTACGATTCAAAAGTTATTGTAAATTATGATATTTTCCCATAAAAACCCCATAAAAATAACGGAAAATCAGATTTTTCCAAAATTGGCTCGAACGATTTTGATAAAAATTTAGTATGTTATAGTCCTTTAAATTCTGAAGAAAATTGTACAAATCCCATTTCCGTATATTTACTCTCACCGCTTACTTACGATAAAGGTTGTTGACAAGCTTATGGGAGAAAGTATGTGTCAGGATGCTGATACCGTTTATTTTATTTGTGTTGTAGCCTCCTTGTAAAATTAACCTTTATAGAACAACTTTCAGCTGACTAATCTTTAAACCGAAGAAAATGGACATTTACGACTTTGATTTTCGTGTACTGTGTATGATAGAAAACTGGCTCCAAAAGACCATATTTCTTTACTTCGCCTCACCCGTGTATATTATTTAGATATCTAGCGAAAACCTGAAAAGTCGGGTGTCGGGTCGGGACCTCAACAAATCCACAAAAATTTGATTGGTTTGGACAGATTTCCCCAAAGCATCTGAGTTTCTCCCTTAACAATATGACATGACTCGATCTGGATGAAAATAACCAACAAATTGTTAATATACCTCCCAGTGTCAGTGAACATTTTGTAGTATGTTTAAAAAACACTGTAAACCCACCCCGTCGGGTCGCGGTCCGGCGAACTTGTCGGTGAATAAATGACAATTGTCATTGGGTAATTGTCTAAAAAGGCGTGTTTTGCCGCGCGTGTAACTGTCACGCCTTCCTACTGTGCGTGCCGTGTTTCGTTGTTTCATTTGCTAAAACTACAGTTTATGTTTTTTAGGAGTTTTACTTATTAATCCGTCTACCGTTTAGACGAATGTTTGATATTATTGAATTAATAAATCTTTAATCCCATAGATAAAAAAAAATGAAGAGGACAACTAAACAGCTCTACAATGTTTGGGCTAAGTTGTTGAAATACTAAAATTTTCAGCTTTCAATAATTGTGTTGTGAGTGTAAAATTAATTTATGAAACTTTACATTTTTTTTTGTTTTTACTTGTCAATAATTTTGGGCATTTTACGATTTGTATGCAGTATAGGTAAAAGATTATTCTAACAACTGTATTATTGCTAACAATAATGCTAACATAGGTGCTCCAAATGCTAACAATAGGCTATAAACGGTATCAGCAATCTGACACATAATTCTCTCCCGCATTAGCTTGTCGGAAACCCTTGGGTAAGCGTGGGAGTAAATTTATGATAATTGAAAGGGTAAAGTCAGAAATACTGTAATAACTTTTGAACCATAATTTTTTACTGTACTGTACCATTCTGTTTTGCAATTTTTGTAGAAATTATATTTTTTTGTTATTTGCTGGTTTTCACTTTTTCCCCCTACGCCCAAATTAAATCTCCATTTTGTATTGTTTTATTGTACAGTAGTATTGTTATGGCCAAATGTTCGAGTTTTAGTGAAAATGTTTGTTTTGAGTTCATCTGAACCCATAAAAGTGGTTTTTGAACTGTGTGTTTTCTAAATTTAATATATTTTACTCATTTTACTGTATAGCTAGGCTGAAGTAATGTTTAAAACAGTTTTGGGCTAGAGCGTCCTAATATGTGAAGGTGAAAACATAAAAAAACTCCTTTTAAATCTAAACAAAAATGTGCAAACCCAAAAAAAATCTTGGTGTACAATAATTGTCGATTCACAATCATAAGTTAGGCCTAATGCAATTTTTTTAATTTTTCCCATAAAATTTCACAGTCACTCTACACCACTTGATAAGAGGTTGAGTCAAGATTGCTGATACCGGTTTTTTAATTTTAAATCTTACAGCTGTGGCCATTGGAACCTAAAATTTCCATTTACTTGATTGGATTTACACAAAAATATCTCCTTAAAAATATTACATTTATTTCCTTCTTAAATAGCATTAGTTTAACGAGTACTTATAGATTTGCTGCAAAAGGTAGTGTTTAAAAAGTGTTTTTGTGAAATTTTTATATTGTTTATGCTCATACTAAATTAAGTTATTGTCTACTACAAAGGATCAGCGGTTTCAGGACCCCATGGCTTAAAACATACTTTATTATTCTATGCCAGCACTATTAGGTTTGTTTTTTAATAAAATCCCAGAGAAGTATAAAAACATTTATTATCTTAGATAATATTAAGCACTAACATTTCATTACAATATCAACATACAATATTTGTACTGTTTAAACAATAATATTTACACTTTACCCTTGTTTGAGACTTAAAATTTACATTTTATTCCAAATAGAATATGTCTTACCCCTTGTCAGGAGACTTTTTTGGCAAACACAAATCTACTTATGAAATTTCTAATTATTAATATTTACAAATGACAAATAAACATTTCAATATCTTTCGTTGTTCTGAGAGTTTCCATTTTGCTTTAGTTTTTTGTTCAGTCCATCTTACAATTCTTTGACAACCAAAGCTGGGCACTTCAAAGTGGAATCAATATATCGTCACGGACAGTTTAAAGCTGGTTCCTTTTTACTGCTTGGTGGAAATGTCTCAGAAGAAATGCTTCTCACTTTAAGGCCCAGAAATTCTGGAGTGATGCCTAAAATGTTGAAAAAATCAAACATTCATATCATAAAAATGTCTCAGAAGAAATGCTTCTCACTTTAAGGCCCAGAAATTCTGGAGTGATACCTAAAATGTTGAAAAAATCAAACATTCATATCATAAAAAAATTCATAACATCTATCTATGTTCTTCAACTAATAATCGTTAGCGACTGCGTCCTCCGTCTGCTCCAGGAGCAGTGGTCAGTGATAGACGACTCTGTCAAAATAGACTAACCTGAAACAATGCAAAGCAGTGGGCAGCGATTGATCTCCTCAGAGGAGAAAAACATTATCTGTTGAATTTCATATGTAGCTTCAAATATATGTCCGTTAGCAGACACTTTTTGCCCGTGTGCTGAACTATATTTTTCGTCATATTGCATCATGGAATTAACAAACTAAGCTATGAAACAAAAATACTTTTCTAAAAATAACCTCTCAAAACAACTTCTAGCTGGTTTTCAATTCTGCTAATGTAAATAAGCACCTGTTTATAGTTCGGCCGCTTAGAAAGCGACCTCCTCTAGCATTGGTTTAGCATTAGCACGCAGGTCGTTTTCTATGCGGCCGAACCATAGTAAGTGATTTAATATAATTTTGTCTAATAAGATTGTGTTACTGTACATACTTGCCGAACTATTGACAAGAATGCAACAATAAGCTATAACCATTGACTATACAGGGTGAATAAAAAGTCAAGACCCCCCCATCTAATATTTTTCCAAGTAAATATACAGAGATATCCTTTTGGGGGTCGTGCAATCTTAGCAGGAAGTTTCTTTTTATGATTCTGAAATTTTTGAGTGTCCCCCCAAAAGGGGGGATTTGGGGGGTAACTCAAATATTTTAAATGTAAACTCCCTTCAAGTGACACCTCATTTTAAAGTGTTTACAAAAACTTAAAGAATGGTGAAAACTAGAGGTCGCTATCTCTTCTCTGACCAAAATGGTAGCCCGTCAAATGTTGTGGAAAATCAATGGTAAAATTGGTTCGTAATTGTAATATCGGCTACCATTTTGGATAGAGAAGAGATAGCGAACTCTGGTTTTCACCATTCTTTAAGTTTTTGTAAACACTTCAAAATGAGGTCTCACTAAATGGGGGTTTACGTTTAAAATGTTTGAGTGTCCCCCCAAAAGGGGGGATTGGGTGGGCAACTAAAAACTTTTTAATGTAAAACCCCATCAAGTGACACCTCATTTTGAAGTGTTTACAAAAACTTAAAGAATGGTGAAAACCAGAGTTCGCTATCTCTTCTCTATCCAAAATGGTAGCCAATATTACAATTACGAACCAATTTTACCATTGATTTTCCACAACCTTTGACGAGCTACCATTTTGGACAGAGAAGAGATAGCGACCTCTAATTTTCACCATTCTTTAAGTTTTTGTAAACACTTGAAAATGAGGTGTCACTTGAAGGGGGCTTACATTTAAAATATTTGAGTTACCCCACAAATCCCCCCTTTTGGGGGGAGACTCAAAAATTTCAAAATCATAAAATGAAACTGCCTGCTAAGATAGCACGACCCCCAAAAGGATATCTCTGTATATTTACTTGGAAAAATATTAGATGGGGGGGTCTTGACTTTTTATTCACCCTGTATATATAACCTTACCTTATAAATCAATTGATAAATAATTTTGATCCGTGCGAATGCTACAATTGAAAATTAAAACTGTTTACAACAGCTAAATTTACTCCCTAGGGACTAAAAAGGCATTTTACTTTCTAGAGAGTAAAAATGTTACTTTAGTCTCGCAAATCATGTATGAAAAACACTTGTTTTTGCTGCAGTATGAGGAAAAAGCAAATAATTAACACATTGAATATTGAAGTGTTGACGTGCGTGTACCAATTTGTAATTTCTGTGTTATTTTAATTGGAGGATAAGTATACTGTTGTAGCTTATTTGTAGATATATATTTTGATATAATTTTTCTCATTAAAGCTCTTAATGTTTCACTCTAGCCTCTTCCCCTGTAGCAGCAAACCTAACTACTAAATAACCCAATGTTTTCAAATAGGGAATAGATCTGACAAGTTTAAGGGAAATATTTTAGTGAAAAGCCAATAAAGCCAATCAGGCAAGTAGAGTTGCTTTAGTCTTCAGGTTTGCTACAGAAGGGTTTTTTTTCATATGTGTTGATGCCTGGCAATAAAATTAAAATATTAATGTCGCCATGAAATTATCTGAAGGTTATATACTTACTTGTGATCATGAAATGGTAGATGATGACCAAAAGGTAGGGAACCACTGAAGTGACGAAGTATAAGACAAAACCACATAGTTAATGTAAGAGAGGATAAGGCACAGTATTACAATGGTTGTATCTAGGAAAATGTTAAGGAATGACAAGTTTTCCAAATTTCAAAAGACAGTAAAACCTCTCATATCCTGGGCAGCGGTGTATCAGAGCATGAACGCATGGGGATGGCATTACCATTCTTTTCCAAAGAACCTTCTAATTGATAGGGGACTCATATTTTTCCTATGACGACGGTGAGTGTTAATTAAGAGCTGAGCCTACTGAGGGGGGGGGGGCGATCCAAGATTTCGCCGCAATTGCAGGAGATGTTAACAATTTTGTATTAAAGGCAGGAGACGTGGAATATGTTCACTATTCCACCGTCGATCTCGGAAGATAACCACTAGCGACCGCGGGAGACGAATATGATGATCCCGCAAACACAGAATACCCTCACGATTTTGTCATTAGAACAAAATCGTTAAATTTTGCTGGGATTGCAGCAGTCGTTTGGATCAATTATAGTACAAAATATAATGTATAATATAAAGGTAGGCTCCTGTAATATAATAATAGGCCTACTGTCACAGAAAACATACTACTATAACCCAGAATGCCAACCGCATGGTAAAAAGCATTAAGTGTTTTGAGAGGACTGTCAATTCGTAGGCAGCGGCACCAGCGTTGGCATACACTCAGCAACGCTGGTGGCGCTGCCTACGAATTGACAGTCCTCTCAAAACACTTAATGCTTTTTACCATGCGGTTGGCATTCTGGGTTATAGTAGTATGTTTTCTGTGCTACTGTAGGCCTATTCTATACAAAGATGTAATAGGCCAATAGGCCTAGCCTATTCTAAATTGAGTGACGATAAAAAACCTTATTTGTGTTACTTCTTAGAGTGATTGTGCTCCAAATGAATCTCCAACTCATAAAAACGTAAAATCTTGAAGGAAAATTTAATTTATCTTCATTATTTCTAAAATAACAAAAATAAATGTAAATAAATTGAATATAGTTGAAGTATCCTACATGCACCTAAAAGCTCATTTAATCAGTGATACAAAATACATTTTTTAATAAATATGTGAAATAATAAGTACAATAGTGGGCCTACCCTAAGCATAAAATGATTTTAAACAGGGTACACTACTATGGTAGGCCTATTTATTATGTCACATAAATATATATGTATGTAAATGTATGTGTATGTAAAAAAGGGCCTCTTCATCTAAGCCACCCCAGGCCCCCAACTATGACAGTACACCACTGATTTAAAGTGTTTCAATTTGACAAACCGAAATCCACTTCTGGCACTACAAAACAATGCACCTCCAGGGTGTGTGACGGCCACAAAAATTTCCCAGACCAATTACAAATGAGGAGGTCTTTGCTACACCTTCAAATGAAACCCTGTCAAAACCATCACAAACAATTTTATTTTAAAATCTAAATATAAAAAGAGGGTCTGTAACAATGAGCTTTAACCTTCAAGTTCTGCATTAGCACAATTCTTGAAGTGTCACGGCACGTGCAAATTAGTCGCTGAACCAAATAACTGTGTAACTTAAGTTTGTCTAACGCTCCACGTAATTACCAGAAAGTAGTTCACCTTACAGTGAGCCAAATGACGTCATGCGACATAGCCACAACGCTCATTGCCCAACGCCTCCCCATTGCTAGAGGTGGATTGAGGATGGAGAACTCAGCTGAAGTCAGTCCAAATTCTAAATTTGTTTCTGTCGGTTGTCTAAATTCCACATGAAATCTATCAATAAAATATTTAACTCTAAACTATTGTCCCGGATTTTAAGATTGTAAATTTTCTATCTATAATTGGCATGTGGTTCCAATGGGAAATTGGATCAGGCCTAAACTAATAGTAAGTTAAAAGATTAGTTGTACCAGTAATGAATTATTTGTCTAGTGTTTGTTTTGAAGTTTCATTTGGCTACCTGCCACACATCCAGATAGGCGACCCTACATAAAGGCGAACAAGGTGGTGCCTGGGGCCCAGCACAGACGTATTTCAGGTATTAAGAGAGGTTATTTCTATTGATCTTTGCCTTTGACCCCACAATCTCTAGGGCCGCCACTGCACACATGTAGGCCTAACTTATTTAAAGAGTATTATCACTGTTAAACTACCTTTAAAACATTGACTAACTTAAAACGTTTAGGTTTAAAATCAATGATAAAAAAAGGATAATTTTTGTTGTAATGTTAGCTTTTGGAAGTTAGGCTTTGGACTGTTTAGAGGCCACTATACAATCCAATCAAAACATGTACGGTAACTTACCTAAACTTACCGGCACCTTGAAAAAGAGAAAAACACGTTTAAAAATAATATCCATTTAACTTATGGTAGTTATTTATGCTGGGCAGACTTCCGTATCTGTTGGCACAAACAACAGAATTAAAATGTTGATTAACTTATTCGATTGTTTCATTAGATATATCGTTTGGTTAGTTAGGTTAGATTAACCTTACCTAACTAACCAAACGATATAAGTTATCGATCGATATTTTCATTCGGTTGTTTGTGCCAACAGATACGGAAGTCTACCCTTTATGCTTTGGAATTTGATTGACTAAGGACCATTTGGACCAGACTTAGCCTTTATAAAATAATCTCTGGGATAATGATAACTTAGATTAGGCCTATCTTATACCATGCTAGCCTTAAGGAAATCTTGGTTAAAGCCACCTTAGTAGAAATCTTAGTTTAAAAGGTTTAAACTAGTGATAAAAAGGATACTAACAACAGCTCTTTCCCACCGTTCAACCATATACAATTCTGTAACCATCAAGTATCTAAAATACCAATAGTTTAAAAATTGCCAAATTTTTTTAAGAGTGTTAAACATTTTGGTTAGGCCTAACCCTATGCAGGTTGAAAAGAATCACTATTAATTATATTTTAAAATTAAATTTACCGGTACCGGTGTGTTATTGAACACCAAGATATAAAACAAAACTGTAAACAAAAAAGGAAGATAGTTACGAAAGAGTTTGGTTAACAAACACTAAACACATGCTCTAATCCTCTAATTGCTCTTTTATGAATGACATCTGAACTCCTCCAACAAACAAAACACTAACTAAACTGATCTGACGTTTATCAGCAGCCGGCAAGAGGGTGGTGAAAAAGAATGGGTCCCAGTCGAACTGTGTAGCATGAAGCTTTTTAACATACGAACACAACCACACAACTGTGAAAGTAGTTTCTATAATCAAAGCACAAAGCTTATAATGTATTCTACTAATCAGCAACATTTATTGTAATCGGCCACTTCGGCACGGAGCTCGTTGCAAGTTAAGGTTTGAAATTAGTATGAGTATAATTGCTCCGAAACTATAGTTAATTATTTCTTTTAAGTTTTACAGTTTCCTACGGATTGGAGTACGCAACCAAAATTAATTGGATTGGGTAGAATCATTGACTGGCAGAATGTAGCCATAGTGCGGAATGTTTGACCCCCTACTTGCCCTGTTACTATTAAGAAAAGCTTCATATCTCTTAGAATAATAAAAAATGGACTCAATGATAAAGTAAGTTATGAACCCCGGGTCCCTATCCAGTTAACAAACATTGTGTTCTTTTGGGATGCTGCATGAAGCCATAGATAAAACATACTTGTGTTGGTTAGTCTATGATGAAGCTAAAAAGAAGTAATTCTACAACCATACTGCAGACTTATCATCGATTTTCTAAAATCTAAAGCTCGTTTTTTATGTCTGGTTCATATGTTATGGTGACAAACTGACAAATGAGCGCTTTTTAGTGAATTCCCTGAAGGGAAGTAGCAATTAGCTTTTTAATGTGGATTTTCCCATAAAACCCCATAAAATAACGGAAAAATCGGATTTTCCCAAAAATAACCCGGACCCGAACGATTTTGATAAAAATTTTGTATGTTATACCCTAGTCCTTTATTCTGAACAAAATGGGACAAATCCCATTTCTGTAAAAATTACGGTTCAAAAGTTATTGAAAATTATGTTATTTCCCATAAAAGCCTCATATAACGGAAAAAATTGATTTTCTAAAAAAATCAACAGAGTCCATGACTATAATTTAATAGAGGCTGTGAACTATCCTATTAATAAACATAGTTTTAAAAGGATACTTGCAATATATCTTTCCCATTTCTCGACAATGTAAAGTTCAGTAACCATGAGGTATCGAAAATACCAGTAACCTAAAAACCCACAGATCATTCTGAAAATTTTAATCATTCAAAAACACCAGACATCAACACTTGAGAATTGAGTACAGCAAAGGTGCTGCCAAATGGTACTGCCTTGAGCATTGCAGGAGCAATATCTTATCTCTACTTAGATAAAAACTAACAGTGTGCACACAAACACACAGCATAATGTTTCAATCAAACCAGCACACAATTTTTGTGTTTTTGCTTTGATTGCCCAACATTTAACTTGTCATAAATAAACAAAAAAAAAATGCCTGAGGGTATATAAGGACCATGGCAATTTCAATATGCTTACTTTAATTTTAAATGTATGAACTTTAGGCCTACACTAGCAATTATTAAAGAAAACCTAGCATATACTTTAATCCAATAATAGAATACTTTTACCATAGACAAAAAGAATTCTTTTACTTTACTTTGCGGTTCAAACATTTTAATTCAAGAAAACTATGCTAAAATTTATGTAATATACACATAAATATTACATATAAAATTTTAATGTGGATTAGCAACAGTGGTGTAACTTATGGATTTTGTTCCATAAATTAATACTGCTGATTGACAATTCATAATCCAGAAATCAAGGGCATTAAGTGTGTTGCTAGCCTTTAGTGGTTGGTGTCTCGGACTGGGTTCAATTCAGCACATCCACAAAACCTTTAAGGGTTTGGACCGCTTTCCCTAAAAAGCGTTTAAACGTTGATTTCAGTTGAAATGCCACTGGCGCAGGAAAAGAAGGGCGGTCCTGGACCTATATTCCGTGGGGCGGGGGAGGTCACCAGAGGGTATAGCCCAGTGAAACAGGTGGGTACTCTCCTGAAAAACTTGAAAATTATGTGCTGTGATTTTTCAGCTATTTTTTAAACATACTACAATAAATTAACCCACCTGGCTTGATGTAGGCTACACGCTTTCCAGTTTATTATTTAGGGTTTAGTAAATTATTTTAAAATAAACATGTAAATTTTGAAGTTTTTATATTATTGAGCCTTGTGGAACTACATTACTACGTGGCTTGAACAACGAAAGAGTACCGAAGATAAGGGTTTGTGTTTGTATTCAATCCTACCATTTGCCTAAGTGTAATAGTCTAGGCCTATAATGAATTTATTTGAACGATTTGCAGTTAAACTTATTTCAAAGTTTCCCTTTAATACGTTAAATAAAAGTTTTTCTGTGAACAAATATTCCGGAGAGAGTAACGACATAGACAAATGGAATAAATATAGACCGTCAGCTGTGCTGCGGTTAGCATAAGTTCTGGCGTCCACCGCTAGGTTTGCCGTGTAGTTTATGGCGCACACCGCTGCAGCGTCTGCTGGTTGCATACAGCTCCTGCGCTCCTCGCCTGCAGCGGTGTGTGCCGTAACTACACGGCACTCCTAGTAATCGGCGCCGGATCCTTCCTTCGACAGTGTATATTTATTCTATTTGTCTATGGTAACGACCCCCTTGCCACAAATCCAACCAATCACAGATAGCGTCATTAACCCCCTGCTGTACAGTACAAGACCCTCTTCTATCCTAGCGTCCCAGTTCAGTTATCCACTAGCTTCACAATGTAGCGTTAATTCTGTTACTTATCTTATGAAGTGAACCAGTAGCAGTTTTACAGAAAGTTCTCACTTTATTATCTGGTCCATAGACTACAAGATGTTTTTTAAGTGCAAACACTTGTATTTATAGTAGTATTGAACAAGGTTTAAAAATAAACAAAAAGTAAAAACTAAAATATTTATTAGTCTATAATACACATCAACTTTTCAAACAGTGTCACATGTATTCAGGAATTTTCCGACTCCTTGAATCTGTAAATATAAAAAATAATCACTATACATAAAAATAGTCATAACATTTTTTTACATTTTAAGCTTATGAAAATTTGTAAGAACAATTTTAGGCTAAAAAATAACTGCTTAATCAATAATTCTTAATTTATTAATTAGGCTCAACCTTGTTATGAGCACAGAGTGAATAGTAGTAATAGAAGAAGCTCTTATACATCTACTCTCTACTCTTGTACATTTTGTCATACGTAAACTCCTCATTGACAGCTAAAACAATCATTTTCAAATTTTGCATGGTGATAAAGATCATATTAGTGAGTGCCAACATCTATATTGCGTTAAAAAAATATCCTAGGAATCCAAACCACGTGGTCTCAAAGTTTTAATGTAATCCTTATGGAAGCAGTATTTGACACATAAACAAAGGTTTAATATGACTTAAGCACAGTATGGACCACAATGATGTCACTTGCTCGAACCTTATACTGTGCCATTAAGTATGTACACTCAATTACGAGTACTGTACTTATAATATTAACATGTGATTTGGACGTTTTTTTACAGTTCCATTTATGTACCTACCGTAATAATACGTACAGACATATTTACTTTTGAGCCAGCAACGTCATTTGTTTCCTGCTCTTAATCATCTTGTTGATGTATTATTTATTGTGTGATTAAATTTGGGTTTCAGTTTGAAATGGTTTAATATTCTTTACCTACAGAGCAAGTTAGGTAATTACTAAGTGTATTTGTGTAGCAGTATTTGAGTATCATAGTTTTAAAATCCTGAATATCCCCGCAGTAACAGAAACACCATCGCTGTGTTCCACGATCTCGGCAAAATCGTTAACATATCCCACGGCTATATGGAAAACTGCGGTCACAGAAACGTTATTTGAAATCGTCATGCGCAATCTCGGTAAATTGAATAATCCGCGTAAAAATAAAAAATACACGTATCATTTCCCAGTCGGTGGACACCCTGGCAAACACCGACAATCAATATTTTTTTATTCATGTAACTTGTAAGTTAACATAAACATTTAAATGACAGTTTGAAACCATCGGCTGCTAACTAATAAAAGTTTTAAACAAAATTTCTTACATAAAAATCATTCAAAATCGTGAAATTTAAAAATAAACCCTGTTTTATACAGAGTGAATTTTAAATGAGTTCCCCCCTACTTTTTTCTACATTTTTTAAGATATCAACTTCGGACGACGTCAGATCATTGTAGTGTAGTAAGTACTTCATTTTGACCGGGTAAACATTTTTGGCCGCCATCTTGGATCCACCATATTGGATACAAAGTTTTTTTTTTCAAATGTAAAGGTAGGTTTGTGACCCATTATTTCAAACTAGAATTTTACGCTGATTACAATGCCGCAATTAGTTTTTAAAAATCTTGATCCGTTCTAAAGTTATGAGGACTTTCTATAAATTTATTTTTAGCCCATTTTAACATTGTGCATTTACAAACCAAGACCATAATCTCAAAATAGTATTAGATAAAGATAAGTATTACACCAGCATTCATTGTCGACCTATTTTCACTTGGTTATGAAGGATATATTTTTTTCGGCCGCCATCTTGGATCCGCCACTTTGAAATGTGACAAATTAATTTAAATATGAAGGTAGTGTTGTGACCCATCACTTTAGACTACTTTTTTAGCTGAATTTAATGCCGCAATCCGTTTTGCATTTTCATATTTGGTTTTTGAAATATTGGAAATTTAAGTAAGATAATTTTAATATTTCATCAAGAGAGCTTGAGAAACAAAAAACGGATTGCGGCATTGAATTCAGCATAAAAAAGTACCTAGGCCTAGTTCAAAATGACAGATCCAAGAGGAAAAAAATACATCTGTCATAACCAAGTGATAATAGGTCAACAATGAATGCTGATATATACTTATCTTTATCTAGCACTATTTTGAGATTATGGTCTTAGTTTGTAAATGCACAATGTTAAAATGGGCTAAGAATAAAGTTATAAAAAGTCCTCATAACTTTAGAACGGATCAAGATTTTTGAAAACTAATTGCGGCATTGTAATCAGCGTAAAATTCTAGTTTGAAACAATGGGTCACAAACCTACCTTTACATTAAAAAAAAAACTTTGTATCCAATATGGCGGCCAAAAATGTATAGCCTACCCAGTGAAAACGAAGTACTTACTACACAACAATGATCTGACGTCGTCTGAAGCTGAAATCTTAAGAAATGTAGAAAAAGTAGGGGGGGAACTAATTTTAAATTCACCCTGTATAAAATAGCGTTGTGGTCATTAACATAATATAATTTGAAAAAATACAATGCTGCTGAATCATAATGTTTCTAGCTAAACATCTTAAAGAAGTAAAACCACCTGGATTGATCATAGCTGGAGCTGCCAATTAATTAATTGTCATTGGGCTTTCAATTTTTTTACACTTTTCAACAACATGATTAAGTTAGTTTAGGTAATAACAAGATCAGAGTTTACCTTCCTAACAACTATTACTTACTTGCATTTTGTGCACGTGTAAAACACAGTCTGGCCTTCATCTGCAGACCGCAGTTGTAATGTCGCATATGACATCTTGTCATTGTTACACTTGGGGCATCTCCGCTCTACTACTGGTCCATCAGCTTCCTCTTCGTCATCATCCACGTGTGTTTTTTTGCTGGCATCATATCTGTTGAAGTATAATTTGTAGCAGGATTCCATCCTTCCAAATACTACAATAGGAAATCCTTTGTAAGTGATGGTTATTGAAATGTGTGCCTGTGTATATACTGTAGTTAAAAATCAATTAACTTAGGCCTACTACGTATAATACTAAAGCCTCGTTTAGACTAAGACAGTTAGCGGGCAGGTTACCTGCCTCAGGTAACTTGAAATGCACTAAGTTAGAGGCAAGTAACCTGACTGCCTACAGACTGGCACCGTCTTTAACCGCGGTCTTCCTCTAACAGATGAGCATTGGAATTCCATTCTAGGTCACAGTTTTAATACCAGCTAACCACAAATGTCAGGTTTTGTTTCTTCCACTGAGCTGAAATTCAACTGAAACGTAGCATTGAATGAGAGAATTGTAGGACGTTGGCTGGCATTTGTACTAAGTTAAGGGATCGAGTAGCCTACATGAACTAGGGAAATATGGGATTATACATCATTAGCCAATGAGCAGCTTCCCCTAGTTCTGTAACCAAGTATCAACATTTTACTGTGTCTTGATTTTCTAACAAAGTTGCTGTGCCAGTATCTCCACCTGTGTATTTCTAGCTTGAAGGATTCTTCCAATTGGTGGGAGGGGGGGGGGAGGAATTATGTGTACACCTATCAAGAAATCCGGGAATTATGCGTGAATTTTGTATTCTTACCTGGAATTTCAATTTACCACGACCACACATGACAACAGTGACGTTTCCGTGACCACAGGAGACGATAATTTTATGTCTACACACGGAGAATTGTCCGCGATCGCTTAACCCTACGAGTGGGGAATTGACAAAAAATGTTGATCTCAAATTGTGTTGCTGAAGTGGCAACTGACTAAATTGTCGATTAACGTTTTACTATCTAGGCCTACAACAAAAATACATTTTTTCTTGCATTTCACGTACAGTTATAGTCGGTGAAAATTACATACCTAGAACTCGTATACCGATGGAAAGATGAGATTCTGAAGTTTCATTAAAAGAATGAACCTTATAACATAAGTATATCGATCTGATCATGAGTTAACTTACTTTTGAATGACTCGCGACTGCCATGTTTCGTTGAAAAATCGTGAAGGATGATGAGTAATTTCAAAAAATCATAGGAGACGTCTTAATTTTTGTTACAGTACTAGCAAAGACAAGTGATACCACTGCAACAAGGAGGGAGTAAACATTTTTTCATTTTGTATAAAGTAGGCTATAGGCCCTAATGTCATAGGTACCCGGTAATACATTCCAACAGCTGATAATTTTTTTTTTTTGTAAATAGCCAATTTTTACGTGAGGCTAGTGTGGGGAATCGACAAAAATTGTCGATCTCTGAAACACTTTTTTTTACCAAGAACTAAGTTAGGCTAAATCTATGTAGAGAAATAAATACTGTACAATTTGCATATTTTAAGTTGTGCACAAAAACTTATCCTACGTTACATCTAGGCCTAAGTTAGTGTATGACAAGTTTTTGCTTTTGAAATAAAATTTAAAAATATATTAAGTTTATAGGCCTATATTTTTTTTACTTTTCTCTAACAATCCATCTTTCTAAAATCGGTTTTTAAGTACCATTTTTAAAATCCACTGACTATTAGGCCTACTACAAAATGAATAGGTAGGCCTATACGATTCAATAGTTTATCTCTACTTAAGTTACATTCACCAAATATGTGTGCCACTCCACAAAGGACATAGGTAGCCTAAGTTATTGGAAAATTGGACTCGCCACTCATAAATTTGAGACGATGATATCTACACGAATGTGGGATAGGCCTATGATTAGCCTATCATTTTGCCGCAGTTGCAGGAGACGATCACGATGTGTACTGGACCGCGGGAGATACAATAATGATTTCTACACGGCCGTGAGGCATAATCAGAATCCCGAGATCGCGCAAGACGATGATAAGTTAATGTCCACACGACCACAGGAAAAGATCAGAATTTTGCCACGATCATGGAAGACGATAATTAGGCCTATGTCCACACAACAGCGGAAAATAAGTATGTAAGAATTTTGCCACAATCGTGCCAGACCATTAACTTACAATGTATAACTTAGACAGCGGCGAGGGATTATCAGAAGCTTACCGTGGTCGCATGCACATGCAGCCACCAAATTTTGTCATCTTCCAATTTTTTGGCACCCCCCAGTGCCCTAGGCATGTGCAAACCGTGCCTATTCGGTAAATCGACCCTGCGGGGTGGGGGGTTATGTTCTGCTTTTTAAACCAGGAAAGCAGCTTTGTCACTGACAACATATTCACCTAGCCTTATTTTAACAAAAAACTTACCATCAGGCCCATATGAATTTTTGCACAAATAACAAGTTACTCCTCCAGCTGCTCCAATTAGAGGTAATATGGTTCCACATTTAGGGCAAAAGCCAGGTTCTCGAACTGATGACTCCATTCCATTTAATGTAAACCCTTATTGTGTAAACTAACTGACAGCCTTTAAATGTATCAAAATCACTATCAAAATTATCAAAATTTAAAAATTGTTGCTTAATAAATTAGAGTACACGAGGAGAGACAAAAAGTAACCACCCACAACATAACCTAACCATAAAATACTATCATGATCATGCTACTAAACAAACAAACTAACAAACAAACAAACAAACAACAAACTATTTCTATGACCACAAAAACATAAGTCACACAACGGTCAACGGAGCGTCTGGCTGTAGGAGCGCCGCGCATGCGCACTAGCAGGAACCAAGAAACATCTGTTTGTAGAAATGCTAAACAAACGCTCCGGTTACTTGATGGGAATCGTAGTAGTGAGTAGATGTTTCTGTTACTTTGGAATAATCCGTTGGGCGTTGACAGACTGCATAATAAAAAGACTTCCGGTGGTTTCTTGCTACTGTACTCGGGAATATAATCTGTACAACTTTCCAACATACAATTTTTAGGGATGGGATTGAGACGGACTATAATTTATGGGTCTGGATAATTATCGAGGTTTTATTGCATATATAAATTTGTATATATACAGTATAATGGTAAAAGTCCAAGAAATAGTCCATAAGTTAAGTTTGCATTCCAATAAAGTTTTAAAATAAGGCTATAGATTTCCAGTGTCACTTTTCAGTTGTCAACGATGATTTTTAGTTGGATCCCAAAGCTGCATTTCTACAAAGAGACCTTCCTGCTGCTAATGCGCATGCGCGGCATTTTCTGATGCTCATCTCATCTCCGGATTTTTTATTTTGTGTGTTCTAAAAAGCAGACTTGCCAACGCCAATGTACCATACTACTTCAGAGTTCTTGAAATATTAATTATTGACAATGGAACTGGAACACTACGTTGAAGTTTATATCCCACTTTAGACCAATGCATTGATTAAAGGTATATATGTTTGTAATTGACGATTGATAAATTATATACATTTATCTTCCTTGTGGATCCTCCAAACACACTATTTAAGGTTTGTACAGGCAGGCAAACGTGCTTGAATTCGTTGCTATCCTCTATCCATTTATATGTTAAACAAATTCAAATACCAATTAGAACAAGTCATGTTTAAAGTACGACTTATTGCTACTTGTTGAACAACATGTATAATACTTACACTGCAATGAAATAAGTGATACGTAAAAATTTAATCAACATAAATGCACTCGAACCTTAATTTACATAAATCACTCACAACAACTGGTTTGCTAGAGTATGTTTTGTATAGCACACACAAGCACTTAAATCGACGCAATTATTGTAAAAGTAAGTTAATGCAATGTCCTAAAGGAATGGTTTTATATTGCGTACGGTTGGTAGTGTAATGTAGTTTTAAGTTTTATTGATTTAAAACTAACTAAACAGGATCATGTTTTTATAGCGTAAATAAATTAGTTTGCGATGGTTTTGATTAAACTACAACCTTGGGACTTGGTGACTAGAACATAATCAATGCTAAAAGTATAATGTGCTGTTCACATACTGTAAGAGTTTTATTTCAATTTATATCAGTAAATAATCAAATAAATTACAAAAAAATCGTCTGAAAGAATTGTTGGAATTCACAAATAATAATATACACCGTCCTCTTAATGAAACAACATGTTGTAGCCTATAATAGATGAAGAAAATTAGGAGTACGCCTGCTCAACGATCTGTAATACTTTTTGTCTTGTAGTTTTACAGGACGTTACATAAGTGCACTGATTCTTTTTTGTTATTTTCTTAAGGGGTCAGCGCTAATACGGTAATAACGGTCTCTTGAATTGTCCACTCTGGCTTAAACAGTTTGACCTTGAGCTCACATACAACGATATATGGTGGCGATAGTGTTTTAGAATTCGCGCTTAAATTATAAATTATGTTAAAAAGGGTGGTATGTGTTTTAATGTTCTTAACTTTGGCGACATATACTACAGGGTTTCGCAGTAGAGCGTTAAAAAAACGGTAAGGACTAACTTAAGTATTTAGGTACTCTTATTATGTAACCTTGTTTTTCTAAAGAAAACTAACACTCAGGAGTAGTGTAGTTACTGATATAGGTTACTAAAATAGGTGTCGACAGAACAAAAATTAATCTAAACTGCTTTTAAATTATTGAAAGCTGATAATACTATCACACAAATATGATAATGCAATTCGATTTCAACAAACACAGGAAATGACATTACGAGTTTACGACATACAAACAGCTGTTAGTCAACATGACTGCTTTCACTACGCAACTGTCAAAGTCAAAGCAAAGGTATCAGCTGTAGTGTAGATTTTAGAATCATAATGATAATAATTATTATTTATTGCTCTTCTTGTTCTTCTTGAAAATGGCGAAACGGCACACGGAAGATTTCTCAGGTACCGTTTGACGTCACTAACTGCTGACGTCAATTTGAGGGAAGACCAATACCGCAACGATACGAATATGAGCCATCGGCCTCAATGGTGTAGTGGGTAGCGTGGCGGGTTGATAATCTGAATGTGCGGGGTTCGAATCCCGCTGGTAGCACTAACTTTTTGTCAACAATTTTTTTCATATCAGCAAGTTTGGTTCGTTTGGTTAGGTTATGACAGTTTGATTTTATAATTAAAAATTATAAAATTGAATTTTAGGCATTTATAATTTTATTTTATGAACAAAACTATTTTTTAGATTAGTAAACCTTCATTCGATTTTTCCATTATCAGCACGTTTGGTTAGTTTGGTTATGTTATGACAGTTTAATTTAATAATAGAAAAATTATAAAATTGTCTGTTCTTCAGACGCAGCAGTTAGTGACGTCAGCAGTTAGTGACGTCAAACGGCACCTGAGAAATCTCCCGTGTGCCCCACCGTTGAAAATGGAGTGGAGGGAGGAAGTAAACATAACCTTAAATCCAACTATTGTGTACCGGTATTAATTGTTAATGTTTTCTGTTTCACTGATTTTATTTTAACATAATGCCCCCTTATGAAACAATATAGGCGCTAATGTCATTTTTAATTTTTGTACAAATAACATGGTTGGTTAGGTTATATAGGCCTAGGACATGTCGACAATTGTGAAGTCAACACATAGCCTAAGATATCTTACAAAACATAGCCTACGGCCTACAAGCTGTCTGTCGAATTTACACTGTCCTGTAAGGTATGATTTTTTAATAATATTTTATCTGACCAAAACTCACATTACTGTATACATTACTACAGTACAAAAACTTAAGACATTTAAATCATAAAAAGCTTAAGGCTAAGTTATTTACACAGGCTAACATTTGGATAGACTTTCATAGGCCGATCTGTTGTCAAAAACAACTAAATGAAAATATCGATCAATAAATGGATTAGGTATTCGATCGATATATCGTTTGGTTAATTAGGTTAGGTTTTTTTAATTCAGTTGTTTTTGACAACAGATATGAAAGTCGAACTTACCCTAACATTTAACCCTCCGTCGGTTGCACCTATATTTTTACCTGACCGGTCGCTCTATGTCTTTCTGATAGAAGTTGTCAGACCATAACTTACACATTCTTGTATCCATTAGATAGGCCTACAGTGTGATGCGACCATGCCCGTGTAAAATTGAATTGCGACCAGTGCCACTGCATGTAAAATTGAACTCAATGTTTTCTTTGCTGGGTAAAAACAGTTTAATTTATTTCTATATTTAATGGAATCAGGTCTAATTAATTTGTGATTATAATGGAGATAACTTACATCACATAAAAACGAGACTGGTCCTCTTTTTTTTTAGATTGGTAACTTGCATCACAAAATAAAAACGGGACCGGTCGCACTGTATCTATCAGAGATACAACGGAGCAAAACAAGGCATGTGTGCACGAGACGACGCTCACAGTGATACTAGGTGTGTGGGAGGGGGAGGGGATGAAACAGCACACTGGCCAAGACCGGTTTTGGGGCCGAGAACTAGAAAAATGCGGGAATTGTTCATGTTGTGGTGTCTAATTGATTAGGTGCGACCGATGGAGGGTTAAATACAAAAAAATCTGAAAGAACTGTTGGAATTCACAAATTATAATAAACCGTCCTCTTAATGAAACAAAATGTTGTAGCCTATAATAGATGAAAAAATGTAGGAGACAATAACTAGCTCTACAAAACCTATATTACACAATTATAATGCGATGGTAGGCTATAGCAGGGCCATTTTGTAACCCGCTTCCGGGTGTGTTTTGTTAATTTGTCGGGTTGGGGAGCTACGTGTTCCTGATAGCCTAGCCGAGCTGGGTTACTCTAGGGGTCAATTTTGGTCGAGCTTCCCGCTTCTGTATCCTAATGTCGTTTTCCTGGCTCAGGCGGGAATGTTGTGCCTCTTGGCTTTATTCATGCCTCATCATCGCCAGGAAACGAGTGAATAAAAGGTGGGGGGGGGGGGCGAGAATTTGTTTCGGAGTTATTGCTCCTTGTGAGACTGTTCCCAACCTCCCCGGTGTAGTGTTAGTTATTTATTTAACTTATTACCATACATCCGTGGTCCCCACCCTGGGACTGCCACTGGTCGACCAGTTGGTGTGAACAGAGTTGAGAAGTAGCATGAGTATCGATTTCAAAATTCTTTTCCCAGCTGTCGTGAGCTAGGCGATGACCGGTAGGACAGACTTCCGAGAAACGGCTATCACCTATAAGCCACTCACCCTATCGGTAATCATCCAATGAGAAGGTCTAATGAAGAAGATGGACAGTGGCGGCTAAAGGGGGGGGCTTGGGGGGGCTCAGCCCCCCCCCAGAAATCAGGATTCACATTTTAATTGGTTAAGTTAGAAAAATTAACTTAAAAAAAATTATAGGAACCTCAAAGTTTGATATTTGTAAAAAAAATTTATTATTTTATATGGTGTCTAGTAGTAAAAAAAAAACGGGAAAGTCGGGAATTAGTATTGAATTTCAAATCGGTCTTGAAAAGTAGGGATTTAGTCTTTATTTTGATATGAAAGTCGGGAATTTTCATGATTTTGTCGCGATCATCGCAGACGACGCCGATGACGTTTCCGTAGCCGCGGGAGTCAATGATGAAGTCTACACGGCCGCAGGAAATTATCATAATTTTTCCGCGATCGCAATTGGCGACGACGACGTCCGAGGCAGTTAATGATGATGTCTACTTGGTCGTGGAAGATCATCATCCAAAAAATCCAAATTGGCTAGTTTGAATTTTTATTGCTGCATTTTTTCTTTACTTTAAAACACCCCATTACATATTATTACTTTATGACATAAAGACAGAGTTTGGTGTAGAATTTATAATTTTGCTAAATTATAAAAATTGGCATTAGTACATCAAGAATTGAGAATCGCTACATTTTGGTATCAACACATCACTAATTGTTGAAAAATCCAGTCTTGAAAAATATGGCATTCGTCTGAGAATGACTGGAATTATTCTTGAATTTTTAAATGGAAATAAACTAGACACCATAAATTTTAAATTTTTATGTGGTACAAAATAATGTCTTACCACTGCCAAAAGGTGTTGGAGCTCTCAATAGACAAAGTAAAGTTCTTGACTTCGTATGTGAGAAGGCCTGAGTTATATGCTACAAACCAGCAATTAATTTAGGATCCTAGGTACACAGTATACACACGTTTAGGGTTTGGATCAGTCTGTTCCTTTCTTTTATCTTATGTCAGCTATTTTCCATAATGCGTAAGGGTGAAATTCTTACATGGAATTCGTAAATTAGCCGATTACTAGGTCCTTCAAGTACCATGTTCACTGAATCCGTAATTCCTTTTATGTTGATTTCCAAATAGCCTAAAATACGTCTTTGGAGCTTATATTTTTTCAAAAATTTTCGGGGGAGGACCCCTGGCCCCCCTCCACACTGAGGGGTATTCCATACCCCCCAGACCCCCCGGCATAGCCCCCCCACATTTTGGGGCCTAGATCCGCCTATGAAGATGGAGGGATGACGAGTCTTGGAGTTGGAGGACCTGGGAAAAAAATCGAGGAGATTACTACGGGCTGCAACGAAGATCGGAGTGTGTGTGTCTGTGGGTGCATGTGCTTCAAGGGACCATTTGGCAGTATGTAAAAATATAACTAAACTAGGTGGCGTTTGCAGAGGCATCCACAAAATTGAGCGGAGTCATCAAGGGTTCATATTATATTGTTTTTGTAATACTGCAATAAAAACAGTCATTTTTAATGCATGCGTTGCGGGTCTAAAGTAGCATTTTTACTCTTTGGGGAGTAAAAATCGTTTTTAGCCTCTATGGAGTAAAAATCAGCTGTTGTCAACTTAGTTGTAAATTTCAATTGTAAACGATTGCATGTATCAAAATATGTATTGATTCGTGCTTCGTAATCATTTTAACCTACAGTCTACAGCCTCTTCCCATAGAATTTTAGCATTGCAGATACATTAATCCATTCCCACACTCAACACTGCTCACCTTTACTACTTCCTTAACTTCCACCTACATTGTGGATCTGTTTCCCTTTCTTCCCATAGCATTTTAGGATTGCAGATACATCAATGTAATTGCCAAAGACAGTTCCCACACTCTGCACTGCAAGCCTTGGACTTCCTTCACCATTTCCCACGTCATATACCTGTTTCCTCCCCTTCTCATATCATTTAAGTATTAGATACATTTATCTAACTGCCCAAACGGTTCCCTCACTCTGCACTGCTATCCTTTACTACTTTCTTCACAACTTCCTACGTCGTGGGGCCTGTTTTCATCACTATCCATAGCATTTTAGTATTTTAGATACGTTAATCTAATTGCCACAAACATTGCCCACACTCCGCACTGCTAGCCTTTACTACTTCTTTCACCATTTTCTATGTCGTGGGCATGCTTCCATCCCTTCTCATAGCATTTCAGCATTGCAGATACATTAATCAAACTGCTACAAACGGTTTCCAGTTCCCACACTCGACACTGCTCACCTTACTACTTCCTTCACCTCTTCTTACGTCGCGGACCTGTTTCCAACCCTTCCCTTAACATTATTGGATTACAAATACCTTAATCTATTGGTCATAAACAGATCCCACACTCCGAACAACTAGCATTTACTACTTCCTTCTCCACTTCCTACGTCACGGACCTGTTTCCTGCCCTTTCCATAGCATTTTAGGATTGCAGATACCTAAATCTAATCGTCATAAACAGTTCCCACACTCCGAACAACTTGCCTTTACTACTTCCTACGTCACGGACCTCAAGCTAGTGTCGTCATTTGATTATATTTATGATCCATACCGTTTCTGTTCTAATATCTGTGGAATAATGCTATCAGCTATTTCTTTATCTACTGCATTCAAAAGTCAACAGCTGATCATATGTCTCTGTTTATGTGTCAAATACTGCCTCCATAAGGACTACATTGAAACTTTGAGACCCCGTGGGGCCGATTCCTGAGAAACTTTTTTAACGTCATATATATGTTGGCACTCAACGATATGGTCTTTATCACTATGCAAAATTTGTAAACGATTGATTCAGCCGTCTAGGAGGAGTTTGCGTATTACGAAATGCATAAGAGTCGACGTATAAGAGCTTCGCTCGCTCCACTTAATAATTTATAAAGATGTTAAACAATCAATTCATTTATGGTAATTTGTAATCAACTCAATCTTTTAATTTTCTACCTTTTTTGTAACTTAACCTTGTAAATTTTTCTTAACTATTGTAGCTCTTTGTTTTTTTAAAGTGTTTATTTGGTGTTGCTATCCTTTGTCACTTCTTTTGTTTTATTCTCATTGTTTTATATGTTTTATTCTCGGCCAATACACAGAGAAGGGAAAAATAATTTTCTTTTATGTTAGTAGTTTTGTATGAAATCAATAAATTTGCCAAATTTGATAAAAATTTTCATAAACAAGCAAAATACAACAGTTAACTTTTCCTCCATAATAATACATGGGAGTTTTTGTTCTTACTTAGTTACTTACCTGTACTAGCTTTTGTTTGCCAAAGTTTAAATTGGCCTTATAGCATTGTTCATTTTAGAGCTTACCATGCAAGTACCGTAGTAGTTTTTAAAATCCAGCTCATAGACTAATTAAAAGAAGAACACTAGAGAGTATTATAGAGTCATATTAGTTTCTGTTATGTTCCAATACTATTTTAATTATTGTTTGGTTGAAAAACTGCCTAATTCATTCTTCCCTAGATTAGTTCAATACCTGCTGTTCAAAAATTTTTTAAGAGAATTGTCAAGAGACCAATGTTTAACAAGATTATCTTTCTTATCTCAACTCAGTTGTGTATTTAGTATTCAAGCATACATTCAACAGTTCACTTCAGCCAGTAAAAATGTTTTTATCATTAATAATTCTTTTTATCTTTACTTTTGGCTGTACAATTATATGTTTGGAAAGTGGTTCCGGCAAAGTAAGGTAATTTTGTAAACGATTTGATTTAGATATTAATAGTGGGTTTCAAAGAAATATTAGAATAACTGCTGAATCAATTTTGAGGTTTAGTTTATTACTAACAAAAATACAGATATTCCAATTTCCTCAGAGTGTAAGTTTGGACTTAGGACTATGCACACTGTTGAGTCGTGGAAAGACAGCAAACATTAACTACCGTTTATGACCAGACTTGAAAATTGAATAATTTTGTACTTTACTCCATGAACAGTCAGGTGGGTAAGAATAGCACCCAGCAAGCTCTGTAGGTAAACTAGTGAAAAATATATGTGGGCATATCTTAAAAAGTTTAAAATTGGTCTAATTGAGTTGTGCTTTAGCTCATGGGCTTTCTTTTCATATAAAATGTAGTAAATTGCTTTATCTGTTAATGATAAATATAACTCCTATTCCCTGAGCATCTTATTATCATTTTCAAGCGTAAGATGTTAAAAGATCAAATACCCAGATTTAAATGAAAAAGACTATATACTAGCACAATTTAACAAACCGCAGTTCAAAACCTTTATGTACGGGAATGAAAAAATATAGAATCTCAGGTGTAATTTCTGTTGAGATCTAGACCTTTTCAAAACAAACCTGTTGGTCTGGTATCAGGAAGAGATTAAAACATTAAAAACTTTCAACATGGTTTTTTTATCTGAAAGGCTTCAACATAAGACAATCATTACTTTGAAAGAGATGTTTAACTTAGACAGAGACACAGTTGTTACTGAAACCTGTATTTAAAGCTTGGCTTAAAGTGAAAATTCATTATTATGATTTATCATCAGTTTTATTTAAACCAAAATTAACATCTACATCTATATGAAAGTCAATCATACCACTGGGAACACATTTACGTTTCCAAAATTGTCATATTTATTATTTCTACTTTGTTTACTAATTCCGCTTGTGTGTTAAGTTCTTCTAAATACTACAAAATCAGTCCATAAGCTGATCGCAAGGGTTATATTTCGTTTGGGGAATGAAACTGTAAGCCTGTAGGATTAGGGTAAAAAATGTTATCACTCCCTGTTTTTCATCGTAAGTTATCGTTTCAGTGAAATGGAAGAAGGAGTTGTCTTGTTTGACTTCACCAAACTGGACAACCTCCACGGCTGGTCGGAGATGTCCGATGTCGTCAGAGAAGTGGGGATGTCCAAGGCGGTGTTGGTGCTACAGAAGACCCAGCGTTTCCAGAGAGGAGTGTTTTTCACCATGTTGAACCCCCAGCCTAATGGAGCAGGGTTTGCTGGTTTTCGAACAGACACAGAATTCAACCTGACGAATTACAACTCCATCCAGCTCTACTGTCGGGGTCAAGGAGAGAACTATGGGTACAAAGTCGTTCTTCGGCACAAAAATCAAAATACCGAACCGTTTCCCTCATACGAACAAATGTTTCAGGTAATGCCTTGCTTAAGTGATTAGGATGAAACTAGTAGAAGTACCAACAAGTTTAAAAACCTAACTAAGAATGGTGGTGGGGATAAAATATGGTTGGCAATAAAAAAACTGACTCAGGTGACCTAAAAAGCCATCAAGAGTACCTACTCTTGTCTTTTAATTATTTATTTATTTGATAAATTCAAGTACCAAAACTTTCAAAACGGTTTTACTCCATTTAAAATTTGCGAGCTTCAAAAGCTTGCAGGAAGTAATACAAAATAATATAAATAATATTAAAATTCATGCAGTGGCATACATTTTGGAAAAAAAAACTAGAACTCTCAAAATAATGAAAAATCCCCTTACTTTTTTAAATGCAGAAATCAAGAAATAAGATTAGAGTTTCAAAGGTACTTTTTTGTATATTTACAAAAGTTGCTAATAATCAGTTAAGTAGGTCAAAAATTCGTTGACAGCCCTGACTTTGAACGTTAACCATTATAGTCCAGCCACAGAGCATAGAATAAATATAGAGGTGGCACTTGCCGTCTGGAGTGAAGCAGGCTTCTCGTACCAAGATGGCGGCCGGCCCGGTCTGCATTTACATTTAAACCACTATATTGTTACCATGGAAACCACCAATCAATATTTGCTTTTAAAACTCTCACCTCAGAACTTTGAAAGCCCGCAGGGGGCAGAGTCCTAGGTCAATATCGAAGGGGGGATAGTTCTATATGTGTCCAGGGCTGTCCGAAGGGGGGGGGGGGGGCAACCTGCCCCGGGCGCCGTGGCAGAGGGGGCGCCACGAAGCGGCTATTATTGTATTAAAATATGTGAATACAACTATTACTGGGGGGGGGGGGAGGGGGCGCCACGACCACGTTTGCTCCGGGCGCCGCCAACCCTAGGGACGGCCCTGTATGTATCCTTGGAGCGGTAGCTTCATATAATTCATAAAGTGGCATAGAATAACACAGTTGTAATGTCGCAATAGAACATGGAAGTGTGAACAGTGCCTCGGTGAATCCCTCTCAGCGCACAGTGACGTTGCCACGGACACGAATAAAGATATCGCGCAACTACTTCAGTCCATGAAGACGGAAATTATTGGCGAGTTTCGCACTGAAATCAGAGCACTGAAGGAAGAGTGCATAAAGAATAATGCTCGACTCGACACCGTGGAGGATGAACAGGCAGTATTGAAGAGGAAGTGCGAATCTTTAGAGAAGTCTAACTCTGAGCTGTGTGGCATAGTCCGCGACCTGCAGCAACAAATACGCGACAACGACCAACACTCGCGCGCGGCTAATTTGGAGATACAGGGGGTACCTGTAACACCTCGAGAGGACATCATGGTGGTACTGGGGCGATTGGCTGCTGTGCTTCAGCTTCCCTTCACACCTGAGGACATCTCTGTAGCCCACAGACTCAGACTGTATTCGGACAAACTTAGTGAACCACCAATAATAGTCCAGTTCATTTCTCGCACGGTCAGGGAGAAGTGGCTAATCGCAGCGAGGAAGAAAAAGGGAATTGACACCACTGAGTTATCTACTGCACTACGTCCAGGCCCAGTGTATGTTAACGATCATCTCACGAGCTTCAATAAAAAACTCCTGGGACGCGCCAGACGTCTCCTGCGAGAGAAGAAGCTGAGCTCCGCCGGATACTTCAACGGCAAGGTGCTGGTGAAGAAGACGCCTGAAGACGCCGCCACCAGGGTGTTTGAGATGACTGACCTGGACGTGTATGACACCCATCTAGGGATCGATGATGACACCAAGTCTACGCCCTCGCCTACGCAAACAAAGCAGTGACTCTCCACCTCTACAGTTTCCGCCATCAAACAATACGTATGTTGTAACATTATTTCTCCTCTACAATAGATAGTTTACAATTTTTTCAATTACATTTTTCTATAACCATTATATTTTTGTGACATTGTTATCAGCATACAAAAATATAAAATGTTCTAAATATATTAAATCAGTATAATTATGAATTTTCTATGTTACACATATTTATGTTTACATTTTTATATTCACAATCATTTAAATTTAATTAATTATGTAATTCTTTAAATTTTTTACTAAAACTTAAATCGGTGAAATTTAAATCGTAAACCTTTTGTAGCTTTAAAATTGTAATAACTTAATGTTCTTGCATAGAAATTATCCAAAAGTTTATTTAAGAGCTTCTGCATAAACTAATTACTTGAATCAAATATTGCTTATAATACAAAATACACATTAATAGCTAAGTAATGTAGTATAGCGTAGTTATGTTCCAGCATTGCAGGTACGGTTACACTTATCCATTTGAAATTTATAATTTCATATTTTAATAGCCAAATTAAAAAAAAAAAAAAAAAAAATTTTTTTTACATTATAAGAGAAATAGTTTATTTCATTATTTTTCTTCCTCTAATGTTAATTGCAGTTATCATCTAAAGTTCCAGTTATTTGTAGTCAAGTTAAATATTTTTCCTACGAAGTATGTACCTATTTGTAATAATCTTCTATTGTATTCTTGATTGGAATTTTATAAACTATCTAACTAGGCCGATTGAAAATATTAAAATTTCATTAAAGTATTTTTTTCCCTTTTAATAATTTTTACCCTGTAATCATACAACTCATTTTGCAGTATTAATTAATTATATTATGATAAATGTTCTAAGTTAAATTTAGGCCTAGTCCATAGTACAATTTTTGAAATCTTTGAAATTTTGGAAGTTATTATACTAAAGTAATTTTGCTCCATTTAATCAAAAATTTCATTAAAAGTATTTTTTCTCCTTTGAATAATTTTTATCCTGTAATCATACAAACCATTTTGCAGTATTAATTAATTATTATTATGATAAATGTTCTGAGATAAATTTAGTCCATAGTACAATTTTTGAAATCTTTGAAATTGTGGAAGTTGTTATACTAAAGTAATTTTGCTCCTTTTAATCAATTTTTCTCCTATATTTTCAATTTTGAAGTTATCTATCATTGTACTTGTAAAATGTTATTACAGTGAAGGTATTGTTTTGTTTTTGATAAGGCTTCTTTATTTTGAAACAGCAACTTAATATTTTATTCTCATGCTAGTTTTTAGTGGTATAGTGTATAGTTGTATCAACGGTTGACTGGGCAGGTGACTGGGGCTTGGCCGATGCAATTTTTTAATAACTGTGATGATGACGGCGACGGCGACTTCCATTGTCTTGAGCTACATTCCACAGATCAATACATTAATTTTTTTAATTCTCATTTAAAGAGCCTGAAAATATTTCACAATAACATTAGAAGCTTTTCCAAAAATTTTGATGAGTTTTTAGTTTACTTAGATTCCTTTAATACCAGTCTAGACGTTATAATTTTTTCTGAATGCTGGCTTGGCAGAGGAGAGGTGGGGGCGAACATCGACGGGTTTGACACTCACATGACTACGACTCAACGTAACCGCAATGATGGTATCATTGTGTTTACTAACAAATCACTATCAGCGACTGCACGACAAATCACTCTGGGGGACGTTCATGGGTTATCACTGGACTTTGTGTACTGCAACAAGAACTTCAATTTACTAGCAATTTACAGAACATTTGACAGCAATCCAGTACAATTCACTAGTGAACTTGAGACTTACTATCAGAACTTAGATAGAAACAAAATGTGCATTTTTATGGGTGACATGAATTTAAACCTTTTGAGCAAGGATATACTAATTGACCTCTACTTAAACAGTCTACTTGGCTCCGGCCTTGTACAGTGTGTGGACAGACCGACTAGAGTTACACAGGACACTGCATCCTGCATTGATCACATATTTGTACGGTACTGTGACATGACTGCTGTGCGCGCTGCTGTACTGCACACTAGCCTCACCGACCACTATGCCACCGCCCTCACTATACATGACACTGTATACACTCACGCACACACACTCAATATTCACACTGCAACCGGACCTCCTCAAACTTACCTTGATCACACCCTACTCACTCAAAATCTTTCTCAGACCGACTGGGGACCTATCCTAATCTGTCCAGATGTCAATCTGTGCTCCGAACTCTTTTACAAAAACCTTGAATTTTCTATAAAAAATGCAAAAAAAACAATAACTACAAGATCATCTAGACGTAAGAGAATTAAACCATGGATTACAGACAGTTTGGTCAAATCAATACGTACTAGAGATAAATTAAGTAAATCTGCACGCCGTCAACCATTTAATGATAATTTACAAACTTATTACCGGAATTATAGACAAAACCTGGGCAGTCTATTAAAGAGAGCCAAAAGAGACTTTTACAGGGAAAGACTCAACCAGCACAGTCAAAATCCCAAATTATTTTGGGGATTGATCAATGATCTTGCTGGCAGATCAAGTAAGAAAAACTCATTTCCAATTGAAAAGTTCATTCCTAACACGTCTGATCATACGCAAGCTACAAAACATGTGATTGCAAATGATTTTAACAACTTCTTTGCTTCTGTTGGAGAAAATTTAGCAAATCAGATAGATGCGGGCGGGACCCCGGTGGTTGTTGACTCTGACTACAGACTGGACTCTACTTTTACATTGAAAACTGTTTCTTCACAAGACGTACTACGACATATCTATGGGCTGCGTGGTGGCTCAGCTCCCGGTCTGGACGAGGTCTCGGCTGATTTACTCAAACAAAACGCACTCTTCATTTACATTCCTCTGCTACACATAATCAATCTATCTCTACTGACTGGTATATTCCCGGCTCAATTTAAGACAGCAAAAGTTATTCCTTTATTCAAATCAGGTGACCCAAAAGATAAAAACAACTTCAGGCCAATCTCATTGTTAAGCGTATTTTCCAAGGTTTTGGAGCGTATTGTTAAGGAACAGCTAGTGGAGTACCTTCAAAGTAACAATATACTATCTAATTCACAATTTGGGTTCAGAAAAGATAAAAACATCTCTGATGCACTATTTGAAGTTTGTAAATCTATAAATAATTCAATGATTAATAACAATCGATCTATGTTAATGTTTTTAGATCTAAAAAAAGCATTCGACTCAATTGACAGAAATTTATTGCTAACAAAATTGGAACAGATCGGTGTCAGAGGCACTGCTCTCACATGGTTCAAAAACTATTTATCTGACAGACATCAAGTGGTTTCCATCTGTGGTGTGAATAGTGATGCAAATTCAATTGAGTATGGGGTTATTCAGGGAAGTACTCTGGGGCCTATACTTTTTCTAATTTATATAAACAACATTTCTAATCTCAACCTAAATGGTGAACTGTTTTTATTTGCTGACGACACTTTAGTTTTAATAAAAGGTTGTTCATGGGAGGATGTTAGGTCCAAAGCTCTTGGTGATCTCACAATTCTAAAGAAATGGTTAGATCAAAATGTGCTCTCACTTAATGTAACCAAGACTAAATTCCTTCCCATATCACTCAGTATCAGCACTGATTATAATCTAGACAATTTGAAGATTCATTGTTGCGGCAACCATAACAGCTTATCTTGTAATTGTGAGTGCATTGAAAGAGTAGATTATTATAAATATTTGGGTGTTTATTTTGACTACCGAATGAAATGGACAGAGCATGTGGATTTCTTGAAGAAAAAGATTCGTAAATATATCTATGCTTTTAACCAATTGAGTGAAATTTTAGATGAGGATGACGTAAAGCGAGCTTATTTCGCTTATGTGCAATCTTTGATTTCTTTTGGAATTATTTGCTGGGGAGCATGCTATCACACCACCTTGGAACCCTTGAATGTAATTCAAAGATCAATTTTGAAAGCTGCTTTTAGAAAAAATAAAAGGTACTCCACTGATGCTCTATTCCGTGAGACGGGAATACTACCGGTCAGACATCTTTTCATCCAGTTCCTTCTTAATCACACATTCAAAAACTCAAACACGATTCTTACAGCAGTCACACATCAGCACTTCACAAGATACTCCCACAATGTTAGAATATCTGTTCCTCAGCTACATAAATCAGTTCTAACTACCAACTGCTTTTATGTTTCTCAGATCCTCTGTCGAAATTTAATTCAAAAATATGATATTCAACACGTTTTTAGTTTACCCTCATTACAGAAATTCAAGAGTCATATTATTGTTTTACTGCACTCCATTACCAAAGAAGAGGCCGAGACTTTGATTAGACCAAACCATACTTGACTCTGACTAAAAATCCTTGACCCTTCGACCCCCCCCCCCCCCACCCTCCAAATGTCTTTTTTTATTGAACTGGCTTTGGTTGTCGTCGCCGACATTCTCAACCACATTTCAGTTTTTATTTTAAAAAATTAAGAAAAAAATCTCTCATATTCAGTTTTTGCCCTTATAGTCCAGGCAAACTAAACAAACTTACATAGGGACCGTTAAAAAAATTGCAAGAAAACGTTTTATGGTTTTATTTTGTAGAGTTGGGTTTGCAGAATGACATACTAAAAGTTGCCAAAAATCGGTGCACGAGAAAACCACTAAAATCACAATTTAAAATGGCGGCTTTTTTCAACATTGGACAAATTAAAAAAACATATTTCACATGCATTTGCTATGCACATTTTTCGAGATATTGACTTGGGACCACCGCCTGTATTTATTGAGTGGTTAGTACTTCATTTTGATAGGGAACATGTTTTTGGCCGCCATCTTGGATCCGCCATATTGGACATAGATAATTTTTTTTCAATGTAATGATAGTGTTGTGACACATCATTACCAACTACATTTTTACACTGATTTCAATGCCGAAATCCGTTTTTAAATATCTTTATTCATTTAGAAGATATATACAAAAGAAAACTCTGCACCATACATTTCTTATGGACGTTTCGTAGTTTGATATTTTTTTAAAATTATTTTTCTTATATCTCCAGTTCTTATTAACGCTTGTAGTTCGTTCTAGGCTTAAAATATTCAGTAATGTAAGGGCTTTCATTTGAGCTCTTGATCATTAAAATCAGACGAGTTAAAGACCTGCTACAAACCTCAGAACAATATTAAATTTAACTTTTTAGAAATATATTTTTATTAAAATATTTATAACTCGGGTTGTTAATACGTCACCAAGTTCTTTCTTGTCTCAAATTACTCAGTGAATGTTTAGCTTTGATTTTATTAATCACTAAACAAAATCTGACAATTTTAAAATGAGCCATGGACCATAATTTAACATTAAAATGTATTTATTTTGAAATTTGTCTTTAGTTAAGGACATATATCCCAAACCCTAATAACTCCTGGAAAGTAATCCATAGCTAAAATAAAAGTCAATATTTTGGCGAATTATTTAAGACTATAAAGAGTTTTGGGAGTTATTTAGAATTAGGAATATACGTCTTTAACTAAAGACAAATTTCAATATAAATACATTCAAATGTTAAATTATGGTCCATGGCTAATTTTAAAATTGTCAGATTTTGTTTAATGATCAATAAAATTAAAGCCAAACATTTACTGAGCAATTTGAGACCAGAAAGAACTCGGTGACGTATTAACAACCCGAGTTATAAATCTTTTAATAAAAATATATTTCTAAAAAGTTAAATTTAATATTGTTCTGAGGTTCGTAGCAGGTCTTTAACTCGTCTGATTTTAATGATCAAGAGCTCAAATGAAAGCCCTTACATTACTGAATATTTTAAGCCTAGAACGAACTACAAGCGTTAATAAGAACTGGAGATATAAGAAAAATAATTTTAAAAAAATATCAAACTACGAAACGTCCATAAGAAATGTATGGTGCAGAGTTTTCTTTTGTATATATCTTCTAAATGAATAAAGATATTTAAAAACGGATTTCGGCATTGAAATCAGTGTAAAAATGTAGTTGGTAATGATGTGTCACAACACTATCATTACATTGAAAAAAAATTATCTATGTCCAATATGGCGGATCCAAGATGGCGGCCAAAAACATGTTCCCTATCAAAATGAAGTACTAACCACTCAATAAATACAGGCGGTGGTCCCAAGTCAATATCTCGAAAAATGTGCATAGCAAATGCATGTGAAATATGTTTTTTTAATTTGTCCAATGTTGAAAAAAGCCGCCATTTTAAATTGTGATTTTAGTGGTTTTCTCGTGCACCGATTTTTGGCAACTTTTAGTATGTCATTCTGCAAACCCAACTCTACAAAATAAAACCATAAAACGTTTTCTTGCAATTTTTTTAAGGTCATATCCTATATTTACCCGACTATTAATTTCGCAGACTGATAACAACCAGGCCTACGCACAGGCACCTGCCCATGTAGGCCTATCCCATAAGTATGGCAGATTCATTAACAATTAATTATAATTGTACTACTATAGTTATCTTGCTCTCTGTTTTTATTTATCTGTATCTTTCTGTATATATTGGGATAAATAAACGTATTTCATTTCATTTCATTTCGTTTTCAAAGATCCGAGCCCGACTCTTTTACCAAGATGGCGGAAATCGGCTTCACTACTGGTATAGTTGTAGGTATAGGAGTGGCGACTCTATATTTATTCTATGCTCTGTGAGTCCAGTTAGGTACTGATCCATAGCTAAAGCCTTGTATTATTGGACATTATTGACTAATTAATATGAAGCCTAATACATGAATTGCATTAATCTGTTTTTTTTCAGGCCCCAAACAGAAAATTTGAAATAGTTGACCTTCCTCTCGCTGGTTTTGAACCTTATTACCGAGGAAAGAAGCAGAATCAATCAGAGCCTTTAGACAAGAGTCAAATTTCAAATTTTGAGCTCCAAATTTATGGAGGTGTTTATCTGCCTGTCAAACAAGCTGGGACATCTTCATTGGAGATTGACTGGGTCAGAGCAGTTTGATCTTTACAGAGCAAAAATCAAACATTGTAATTACTGTAGTTACCATTCCATGTATATACAATTAATTACTATACAATTATATTAGTACCATTCATACCGTTTCAATCTTGTTCTATTACTTAAAAAATACCCTGATTTGCTTGAGGATGTTTTCAGAAAACATTTTCTTCTTATTTTCTATAAACTTAATCCCTGTGTTTGGTAAGTTGGTTTAGTTTCTTTTTTTGTTTTTTAATTTTTTTTGGGTAAGCTGTGTATTGACACACATCACTTTATTTTTCTCCTGTATTTTCATTGGGATTTTGAAATAATTATTGAGACTATGTAGATGTATACACACAGTATTATGTTATTTGAGTCATGTAGTGCATTAGGTAGAGATACCAACTTGGATAGTCTCTGATTTGATAAAAATTTACTCTCTGTAACTCAAAACTCAATAGCTCTTTTTTATCTTAATTTATTTTCAATCCTCTCTTTAAAACCCTAGCTTTCTATGAACCCAACTTGCAAATCTCAAAAGAATTTTGGAACACATAAGTCCAAAAGATGCAAAAATAAGCTATATAACTTCATTGTTTAGATAAGTAAATTTCAATTTGCACTTCATCTTCACAGGTCCCCTTTATATCTTAAAGTTTTTTCTGAGGAGTATTTAAGTCCAAAGCCCAGCAGATAGAAAATGAGTGAGTGAATCATGTCCAATCATGCATCTGTCCGCTGTCACTGGTTACTTTCACACCAAGCAGTGCTTAATTATTTTTTAAGTGATGATAAATGTTAAAAGACAAGTGAAGGTGGGTAAGCCAGTGGTTATTGTGCTTGTCTGACAGTTAAAGGGTCACCCCTGGTTCAATTTTGAGAAAAGTCAGTTTTGGTGGTTTAATAGTGTGCCCTAGCTGTCAATGGTCCCAATTTGAATATAATATCCCTGTCTAAAGAAACAGCTTATTTTAGCCAGTAGTAAAGCTTCATAAGGTCCATCTATATGCTGTAAGCTGTCACCAATTTTGCATAAAAAAGATAGTTGTGTAAGCCATGGTCACAGAATGCGCTAGTGTCTATAATTCTATTTTCTACCTTAGTTTTTGTTGCTGACATAGGTGATGGGTCATAAAAGTTGCTGAGCTCACAATAAAGTTTGTCTATTTGACAGAAATTAGTAAATTAGATCAGCACAATCTGTCGGTGGCTCACATCAACTACAACAACTATGATAAAAAATCTGGCGACAAATTTAATATGGGGATGGAATGTCTAGTTGTATTAGAAGTTAGAGGCAATACACACCACACACCTATGAAAAACCTACAGCAGATGGAAGAATTTATGTCCCCGATGTGAGTAAAAAGTGGTAAAAGTCCTCTTTATGCAAGCACTCAGAATTATAAATGTTCTACATTTAATCTACCCTGAAAGTTCTAAAATGAGCCTTTAATAATCCTTATCCTCAAGAGGGAGCCATACTTTGTTGATAGCAAGACTTTAAGCTTTTAATAAAATTAACAAGATAAAAATTAGAAAAGTTTGAATTTCTCGTAAAAATCTTGTGTATTTCTAAATAACATCAGTCAAGAAGCAGAAACTATGAAGTGCAAAATTTTATTATTCCAAAAATAACTCTTGCTTTTATGATACTTTATACTTTTCAATGAAATGGCGACCATACAAAGTCGGTATTTTAAGCCAAGTATGAATGGAGATGAGTGTAGGTGTCGTAGTCCGAAACCCGAGAGAGGGGATGAGACAGTGTTGGGAGACGTAGCATAGTCGCAGGCAGGTCGTCGACGAAGAAGGACTCAGCATCAAATAACGGATGAGTCCTAGGTGTTATTTTGTATATAAATACCCCCGCCGCAGCAAACCTGCAGACTAAGCGAATTTCCATTTGCCTGATTGGATTTACACTAAAATATCTCCTTAAAAATATCACATTTATTCCCTATTTACTAGAATTAGTTTAAAGAGTACTTAGGTTTGCTGCAACAGGGAGAGTAAACACGTTTTTTTTTTGTAAATGTTAATAGTTTAGTAAGAAATAAATTCATCTTCAAAATTTGATCAAAATATGTTCATAAACAAGCACAACAGTTTACTTATTATCCATAAGAATAACATGGGCATTTTAAATTTACCATTTTTTGGAATTTTCTCTATTAATGATTAATAACGCTTCTATATACTAAATTATTTGTTTTTAAGCTCTACAAAAAGGTCTGGAAAGAAATTGCTAAATTTTATGTTTTTTGAGTCAAAAATAGGAAAAACCAATGTTTAACCCATAAAACCCCGTTCCCATAGTTTGATCATGCTGGTTCGCGAACTCGTTCGAATAAATGTAGATTTACACTACCAAATTTCATCAAAATCGGATCATTTTTGCTCCAGTTACCGTGCTAACAGACACATACCTATATATGAATTTGAACATATGGTATTTTTGACCTCTGAGGACCACAAAACGAAATAGTAATCGGTCCCGGGTCCAGGTCTTACCATTAGACCTACGGTAATAGCTTATTATTCTCTATATGGGAAATTCGCTAAAAAGATTGGTTTTTCTTTTCGGAGTCTGTTTGGCTCCTCTATCCGACCGATTTTCATTATTATGGTCTTAAATTAAAGAAAGGTATGCTTGCACAGATTTGCCATCAAGCATCATTATTCTTATCTACTGCATTGCTCTATTAAAAAAACAAATTTGATTTTTTTTCAAATTCTTACTTCAACTAAAGATGTATTTCACCAGCTATAATTACATTATCCTACGTATTTTTTTAAATTGTTTGAGGAATTAACCTAAATTGGTAGGTTAACTAGTTTTTCTTATAGTAATTTAGTAATAACTAGCTGAGTACCCGTCCTTCGTACGGGCTTGGTATACAATGCTTATTGCAGTTAAATACTCGTGCTTTGCATTTGCAATGAGAGAGGACATGTTTTGAGAAAATTTGGTTTACTATAATCTACGGTATACTATTATAGTAAGTATATAGAACATCTACCATAGCCATAATGTTCTACCACTTCACCTAAACAATAGAAAGAAGTAAAGTTCACACACTCAGGTTTTGTTGCTGCTTGGTTCAAATTAGCTGTTGTCATAAATGTATAAAGAACTAAATGGTGCTGCACCCTGTTGGTAAACCGTATAACCTTTTAATGCTATTTAACATCATAGAACCAAATTGTGTAGTTGAAACAGCTGGCAAAATTATTTAATTCCTTTTAAATATGAATACTCATAAGGTTAACGTGGGAAACTCTAGCGCCGCTGGGGCGGAGCGGCGGAGCCCGAAAGGATTATTGAGGTAAGAATATGTCTATATGTTAATCGGGAAGGTGAGCTATCATCGTACCAAATTTCAACACAATCCGACCAGTAGTTAATTGACAGATTGAACTTCAAACACACAAACTTTCACATTTATAATATTAGTATGATTATAGTAATAATTATAAACAAACTTGGTAACAAGCACCACACTGATTTGTAAGAAAAAAACATGTTTTCACTCTTTGTGATTTAAAAATTCATAATAATCAAGTCATAGTGTTTAAATACACAAGTAAACAAAGTTAATTGAATCTTGTTTTCAAACATTTAATTATCATTAATGAAGATTCATAATGTAATTATTGGGGAAACAATCTTTCCTTTGAAAGAGTTAATGTTAGCATGAGCAATATTGTAATTATTTTTCTTTTGATCATTTTATGTTGGTTCATCCCCACCTCCATGTCTTGCACGCAGTGATTTGAAAAAAAAACAAATAAAAAAAATACACCACTATTACTATATTAGTTGTACTTCTTAGTTGTAGCTTCCTATTAACTCTCAAGTCTAATAAACAACAAACTAATATTATTAGTAAATCAGCCGATCATCCAATGCAAATCTAATGGAAATTATAAGTTAACTTGTATTTTATTATGAAAAGGATTCCTGGAAATCACATAAAATTACAGACATTCATTTCTTAGTACTATTTAACTCCAAAATACTTGATAATTCTAGAGTAGCATCTATCATCAATTCAGGACCAACTGCACGACTTGAATTAATTTTTACAATTCCTCAGTGTTTCAAAGAACAATCTTGAAAGTGGGAGATAATACCTTCCTTGACGACAGTTTGAATCCTCCTCGCCATTTTGAGAGTGCATTTCCATATTTTAGCTGTTTTAACTCAATCCCACAGAATAAAATAGCTGTATAGGCCTATCGTGAAAATGTGTCATCAATATGTGAGTATTTTCGGTACTTTCCTGTTAAAGGGAACATTCATTATTATCGATGATTTTCAATCAATATATCGATATTAACGAATTGAAACCAATCAGCTGACAACAACGATAAATAAATATTGTTCAGTATGAAAAAAAATATTGAAATGAAACCGTTTCAAACCAACCTAACAAAACTAACCAAACCTTGTGTAACATTTAAAAATTCCGTTTAATATTCCCACCATGCCTTTTCTTTAATCAAACGGAATTTTAAAAATAGTACAGCAAGTTTAGTTGGTTATGTTAGGTTAGCTTAGAACAGTTTTAATCCATAATAGACTTGATTTTAGCCTAATCAAGATAGTTGTCAATTTGTAATGGATCGTAAAGGAAAAGAAAAATATCAATATATCGATTAAAAATCATCGATAATAATGAATGTTCCCTTTAACAGGAATGTACCGTATTTTCTTTCTACTGCAGCTACGTACGTACAGTGGTTACTCAATAGTATTTTAAATTCATGTATTTTTTTAAGAATAATTAATTATTAAATATGGTATCATAGTGAGTTAGATTATTAATATTAGCGTAGGCCTATGTGTCTGTCAGTCAATATATTATATTTAAAAATGATAGTTTGGTGATCGCTTAGTTAAAGGTATTTTACCAAATAAAAATTTATAGGCATACAGCAGATCAAAATGAAAGCAAGTGTAGATTTGCCGAAAAATATTGGTACCTACTTGATGAGAGTTTCTACACCTTTAAAAACACACAGACTTGTAATGAAAATTATTTTAGTTAAGTACTCATTTGGCGTGATAGACTAGGCATGCAAATACATTCAGTCAGGCTCACAAGAAAG